CTTGCAAGAACTAGGAGCTAATTTTTTCATATGTTTTGAATAAAAGTGTAATAAACATTTTAAAAAAGATTAGAAGGCAAGAACTGATAAGAATGTTTACTCATCCGCTAGTATGTCAGCATTTTATATAGTGTGCATTTAAAAATTATCAAACATTTAATTATTAATTTACTTTTAGCATTGTTATTAAATTAAAAATTAAATTAAATATTTTAATAATACTCACTTTTAAGAGACGACTCCATTCTTCAAAATTAAAATCGGTGGAATCACAAACAAACTACACACTTTTAAAAACAACGTTTGTTTTCGTATACGTTCAACGTTACACTCGAGACGTTCACCCGGCGAGCCAGCCCGGCGCGTTCATTCTCGCGCTAAATTTGAGTTCACATCCGCGGTCCAATCTGGGCGCGCGACTGTAGCGTAACGTCAGCGTGAGAGATGTCTGTAGGTCGCGTTAGGTCACGTAGGAGCGTAGCTCCTCAGAGGCGGAGGCGGGGACTCGGTTTAATGGTACCGGTCTTGGGCTCCATAAAGCCATAAAGATAGGCCTTTCGGTGATACCTGGGGTGCCGCATCCCCCGAAGCAGCCCCTTCAGGGTGAGGGTACCGGTGGACCCTTGCGCCTTGGGAGGGAGTGCAGGAGAGCGACGCTAATGGGACCTCCCTTGCCGTCCTTATAGGGATTCCCTTGAGCCAAAAATCACGGCAGGGGTCCACTGCATCTGGTAATGCGCCCTCCTCTCGCCATCGTTTCGGAGCCGGAAGTCCGAGTTTCGGACGCGCCGCCCTGAATCGGCCCTTGTCAGAAAACGCGGAGCTGCGGATAGCTCACTACGACCCTACTCTGCACGGCCCCGGCACCTAGGGTGGCGGTGGAACAAAAATTTCATTTTAATATGTCAAATTATTTAATGAATGAATGAATAAATAACTAAATAAATTGGAAAAAAGTAGTTATAAATTGAGCAAATAAATAACTAAAAAATAATTATTTAACTACATAATAAACCAATAAATTACTGACTGACCGATTAATTGTCCAATTAATTAATTCGTTTATTCATTGAGTCTTGCGGTAAACGGTCCCGGCGGGATATTTATTCTAACTGCAAACTCAGCCTACAAAGGTTAGACGCGACACATAAATATTTGCAACGGGAAATTCGGAACGTCCTCCGATCGGGACGGAACGATCGGGGGGGGGGGGGGACAAAGTATAGTCCGCGACCAAGGAAAAAATAGTACAGGATTTCTCGACTCCTTTTTTAAAAAGGACAGCGCTGTATAATTCGTGACTATGAGTTCTGTTACACCTTATATAACCTCTTGTCTCACCATACACTACGTTGTTACATTTGAAAGTCGGTTCGCGGCTAGGAAATAGAAGCGGGAGCTTGAGGTAAGAGGAAGGTGCTCCCGTACGGGACATCGTGAGCTCCATTTACCGACTAACAGAGGTAAAGGAGGTGCGAAGATTTTAATGAACTGAGACGTGATCGTTTACGGAGCGTCGCAAATAAGCATTAAAATCCTATTCCAAAATCCTATACCAGTTTTGAATTAAGCAGTTATAGAAACCACACTAAACCGATTTATATAATGATCAAATAATTTTGAAATTATATTATTCGCCATATTCGATTCGCCATTTTGAATTCTGAACTTCGCATTTTGCTGCCATATTTGAATTCAGCGATTCCAAGATTCTAGAGAAATCCTTTCTTCCGATCAAAATCAAATCAGCCTGGAATTTTTTGTCCGCTATGTTGGGTCCGGCATTTTGAATTTTGAAATTATATTATCTGACTTGGTTTCAGCGATCTCAAAAACATCAAAAAACCTTTTTTCTATAAAAATCCAATCATTTTAAAGCTGGGATGGGTATAGTTCCTTTTCGTTCGGGCGAGGCGGTGTCACACGTTGGCTGCCCAAAAACCATATGAGAGTTCACCTATCATGTCTGTGCGAAAATGTAGTCTGTAACTGGGGCGCCGACGATGATGATAAAAGAATCACGATTCTGAGAGTGCTGAAAAATGTCATGCCATGCTATGCAATGCTATATCTACACATAGGTAATCGCAATCGGAGCCAGGTAAATTTTAAGAAATTCCTGATTTTTTGCTCGATTTTTTTAGTTGATCAGACGTTCATTTCTTTTTCTAGTGTAATGGAGAGAGCAGATTCCCATTTCCCCCACTTCTGAAATCTCAATTCTTGGCATATAGAACTCTGTAGCGTCTCGCTTGAGCTCAAGCGCGCAGGACGCGTTTCTCTCGGCACACGACGCTGTGAATTTCTCGCTCAAAAATGTATTTGGCTTGAAACTCTATCGAATTTCTTGATACGTAATTTATACGTATATGAGACGAAATCCAAAATGTAGATGGAATAATTTAAAAAATATGTCATTTGTTTTGCACCAGATACGTATTTTTAGAAACAATTTGTCACAATCTGTTTAGGGACTTGAGATTTCAGGATATACAAACATCTGATACTGATAAAATCCCTATGGTGGTAACCAGAATTCGAATCCGAGCCTTATAGGTAATAATGGTGATTCAATCTGACAATCCTATAGGTAATAGTGGTGGATCTGACAAAACTTAATGCCATAGGAGCATAAATTTGCGACGGGTATTAGGGGTCTCGTACCCACACCCTGCAAATCTTCTGCTCCACCATCGTTTCCCGCGATAATTACGCGATCGACCGAGCGGCACGTTTTTTTTTTTTCTTTTTAGGCCCGTACGGCTCGCTTTAAATTTGTTTTGTTAAGGCGCCAGGTATGCCTCAGCATACCACGAGCCCGTGGTCTCTTGTCGATTGATTGCGACGTGGTTTACGCCACAATATTCGGTAAGCAATTTTATTAATAATTTACACTCACTACATTCGTTAAGCGCCAGCCGCACGTCGATGGTTCAAAATCTTAATTAACGCGAGTCTCAAATTCTGAATCGAGCTGCGCGTCGCATATTTACCCTAATTAACGCAAATTTTCGCGAATTAACCCAAACTCTAATCGCGGATGTGCCCCTATTATCTCGAATTTTTCCCCATGTTATTTCGTGGATTCCCCTATGACTCTGACCTCCTGGAACTTGGGCGTGGGATGAACGGTGGGTTCTTCAAATTTCTCTATTGGTTGCTTGTAGGCTTTCCTGAGTCTCTGTTTTGCTTTCGCTTCCGGCAACAATCCACTGTTAAGGCTTTCCACGGAATGCCGCAGGGGGCCGACACTGCCATGTATTGGGGTGTAACGCTTTATGCACTACCGCCATCTTCGGTTGGAGTAAACCCTCTTCGCGAACTAAAATATTTGGCGGGCTATTCAAATTCATTTATTAAAGGAAGGGATATTTTCGGGATTTAAAAAGTACTTACAATGATCAAAACAGACGTTGCTTAGATTGACACACAAATGTAAGAAAACAGTATATTAAACATAAAAGAAGTAACAAAAGTGTCAGTAGCGCAACGCCTGTTTTAAATCACTGTAAGAACTGAAATAATTACATTAAACATTAGTCAAAAAGTAACATATTTATTAAAATAAAAATATTAATTATTATGAATGTATAAATATACAAATTCTATACAAATTTAATTTTTGTTATAATTACTTTCATGTGGATGGCTCTATAGATCGCATTTAATCCATTTAATTATTACAATTATTATAGGAAGAAACTACAAACTGTTCTTGATTTACACTTTTACTCACAAACTCACGTTCGCGATTTAATACTCGAGGTAATCGAAACTTGTGAAAATATTGCCACTAATCGAGGTTAGGTTCACTTTAGTTCAGTTGTCCCGACTATTTTTATGCGCATCTACGCTGCGCCTCCTGGAGTCTCTTGCTATTGGTTAGAAAATTTTGTCTCTGTTCTTCTCTTTCTATTAGACTGAAAAGTCACGATACCAGCGCAGTCTTTGCTTGGAGTAGGTGAACTAACTTCAGCGTTACACCTCTCCCATAAGGAGTGTCACCCCCCTGGAATGCCGGCAGGTCCCGGCACATATGCGGTGCCGGGTCTGTTTCGGCAGTGTCCGAGGAACGGATTGGCCGAGCGGCGTCGCAGACGATACCCGGATTGGCTCCGGCCCGGCGGCGGCCGCGTCAGCCGACCAATAAGGCCGCTGCCCCGGGGTACCCCGACGGCGACGGCCTCTACCTCGCCGCATAATACAAGGTCGCATGGGCGACCCAAAATCCTTGCGCCCGCCAGAGCCGCATGGGCGAACCCTAAGGCGTGCGTCTTATTAAGGCCTTCTTACTATTACGCCAAACATACCCTCGGCCCCACCGCTCGGAATCTGTCCTAATTTCTATACAAAACCCATATTATTTCCCATAATTATTTCATATGATTTCCCCAATTTAACGTTCGGGCGTTCGCTAGCGTCGCTCGCGGGCAGATCGTTCGCGCTAACAATAAATATGGCTGGTAGGCAGCCCCCCCATCCTTCGCGAGAACGCGATTTCCCTTAAATGTGGGGGGGGGGGGGGCTACTGACCCACCACATTACATGATATAAACATGGTTTTTTTTTCGATATTCTGTCCCAGACCAATATTTTGCAACAATGAACCTCTGGATCGGTTTGGCCATGCTATACGCGGTTTCGTCTAACTTCGACTGTTGAATTTTCTCAATTTAAAAATGTTTTTAATCGAGTCTCAGCCGAGTTTCATGATATCAAGTACTCCGAAACTGCTGCCCAGATATATATCTGTTTGTATTACTCTCTGTAATGGTGGAATCTGAAATTATGAAGTTAATGATAGACTCCAAGCATACTCGCCCGGTTCAGTCCGAGACCTCGAATAACATTGTATAAGAAATTACCAAGAAGAGGTCACCTTGACCCACGTGCGTGTTCCAGGGTTAAGGGAAAGTGATGGGTTAAGTGGCAAGTGCTGAAAAAACATTCAGAACAAATCTTTTAGTACGATGCCTTTTAAATTGTTTAAACATTTGCAGATCTTTCGAGCAAAGGAACTGTTGGACAACACTCTGGCTCTCATTAAAAATGTGATGTCCGGAGCAATTATAGATCCAGATCGTCTAGTCATTGGCACTGAGGAGGGCCTCTTCTGTTTAGATTTAGATCGTAGTGGTTGGTATAATTTTTCTCTGACATGACGATTATCGATATTCACGAAACGTCGTTATTTTTCGCTGGAAATTGTATGTTCAAAGGAGCTTCTTTGATAATTTTGTTATACTTATAATGTGAAAAAACTGCTGTTATTTCCAGAGATAGCCAGAGTCGGCGAAGGAAAGAAAATATACTTACTTGAGTACGTTACGGAGGAACAATTGATTGTAGTGCTTAGTGGAAAACAACGACATGTAAGATTGGTTCCTGTGAGAGCATTAGACGGAGATGAAGTGGAATGGATTAAAGTAGCAGAAACGAAAGGTTGCATTACATTAACGACCGGAGCCGTGCGTCGAAATCCACTCACTTATTGTTTGTGTGTTGCTATAAAAAAACAGGTGAGGTGTAGTTTTAATTTCAAAAATGGTATACCTTTCAAATTTCACATTAAAAATAAAAATTTTAACTTGTACTATATACGAGTGGGTTTACTAAAGGTTTTACAATTTTTAATGAAATATGCACTGAGTTTGATTTTTTATGAAATTATTTAATTCTCAAAATTTTTTAAAGTAATCAATGCGTTTTTTTCATTTTCATCGAAATGTTTATTAAAAATTCTTTGTATAAGAACCATTTTATTATAACAGAATGCATCGCAAGTGATTATTTATGAAATAACTCGTACAAAAACGAGACACAAGCGTATACGTGAATTAATGCTGCCTTGTCACGCACAAACGTTGCAAGTACTATCAGAAGGTCGTCTCTGCGTTGGTTATCCTTCCGGTTTCTCCATCTATAGTATTTTAGGAGATCATCATCCTATTTGTGAGTAACGTATTTATTCATGTTTTTCACTCTAAATGAGTCCGTTTGAGGGTATTCAGCTATAATGCTCCCCTGTTAGAATATTATTGAAAAACGAGTATTTGGAAATATTACAGAGTATTGGTATTATATGTATACACATATGTACGTAAATATATATGTATGTATCTTTAATTTTGCTATTTCAGCATTGGTTCATTCTGAAAATACCCTCTTGGCTTTTCTAACATACAGTTCTGTGGATGCATTACGTTGCATAGAACTACCTCGAGGTGAATTCCTATTAGTCTTCCATACATTGGCAGTTTATGTTGACAGCCAAGGAAGGAAAAGTCGAGACCGAGAAATCATGTATCCTGCCGTCCCTACTGCAGTTAGTCAGTATATATACTCATATCATTTTACTTATGTTCAATGCGAAATAATTTGAATCATTTCCGCGTGTATACTATTACACATACGTGTTTCAGGTTGTTGCGAGGGTTATTTATTAGTGTACAGTGAAACGCATATCGATGTATTCGATTGTACAACCGGAGATTGGTTACAAACCTTGAATGTAAAAAGAGCACGACCTTTAAATATTTCGGGTTCGCTCACCAGCTGTGTCATCAACGATATGCCGCATGTAATCTACTTGAGTAATTTACTTCAAAGTAAGTTTTCGCGTCTCATATCTCTCTCGTATCTTAACAATAATAAGTTTATCAAATTTAAATGATATAACAGAAGCCTCTGAAGCATTAAAATATTAACTGTTCCCCGAAAAGGATGCATCAAATCATTTGAAACTTTAGCACCTGATTATGGAGGCTCTAAGGAATAACGTGACAAGCATAAAATTAAATTGTTTAACAAAAAATTGATTAATTTAGCCCAGATTAGAATCGAAAACAAAAATTATCCATATTTTATGCCTTTTAAAAGTTTAGAATCGAAAACGAAAAATCACGTTCTCCGTAAAACAATTTTGATCACTATAGTAATTCAACATTACAGAATTGTGTAGGAAATGTCGAGAAAAGTTTTATAAATGCGTGAAGTGAAATTCTCAAATTCCCGTGAGCAACATGTGTTCTGAAACTGCCCTTGGAGCAGAAATTTAGTTGTCGCTAAATGTGACAAATGGCGCTGTTGGTCGATTAGAGTATCAAAAATCATGGATCCATGGGATGTTTTAGGTTTTACTTCGGTCTTTTTATAGTTATTCTATTGATATGACATATGGAGTACTTTATTCCGTATAACTCTCGATGTTGAGTGTAACAGATGTCGACATAAATACAAATGTCGACACATGGCGCACCAACTTATGTTACCATTCAAGTATCTAAAATGGCGTTACCGCTGAAAAGGGTGTCGATGAATTTTATTTTATCAACATCGATTGAATTTCGTGACGCCTTTCATGTCATCTTAAAGCATTCGTATTAATGCACGCCAAACATGTTTTCGGCTGAATATAAATTGCAATTAATCTGGATCATTTTCAGGAGAATTGTTAAATCTAACATCACTTGATGCAAGTGGTAGACAAGTGACAAGGCCACGAAGACGATTTTCTTTACGCGAAGGAAATAGAGCGGTGCGGCCAACAGATAGGCGTTCCAAAATGATATCTGCTCCTACAAATTTTAACCACATTAGTCATATGGGACCCGGTAACGGAATACAGGTAACGGAATACTTTTACGAAATAAAATGCTTGGCGCTTTCCAGTTCTCTACTTAGTACTTTAAACGTTTCAAAAATTGGTCAACATACAATAACATTCAATTGTAAGGAAAACTATTTCGTAAATTACGTTTATAGATTCAACGTCTGCTGGATCTACCAACAACTTTGGAAACGGCGGATCAACAACAGTTTCCTGGGCATCACAGCAGCTCACAACTTCACAGCAGTCAACAAAGGGTACACGTTTATATTCTTAATTGAAAATACTTAAAACAAGAAATTTTTTTCTTTTACCAAGTTGTATACAACATGCGCTTTTCACGTTTTATATTGGACTCTAGTCGTATGGCTCCACGATGCATGCGCCGAGTAAGCCAGCTCCACTGCCTCCCAGACATCCTCCTTCGGACACTCGGCGACTTAGTTCCCACATAACGAGAAACTCCGGATATTCACCGCATAATGGTACACCGAATCTCTGTTAATGTTTTTCTTAGAAGGGTGGGGGGAGGGTGGGAAAGAGATGGGAGAGGGGAAGAGAGAGAAGGAGGAAGGGGGAAGAGCATATGAGCGTATGAGTGAATGCGCGCCAGTAATTATGACAATTACGTAAGTTATATTACTCTAGTTAAATTATTTCAACATCTGCATCCATATTCTGTAATATCCATTCATTATTAGCATATAAAAATAATTGTTTTTGACAACTCTAACGACTCACGTCACATTCAACATTGTTAACGTATTGAATTATAAAAAATCGCGTTTAACACTAAACCTACCGAAAATGTATAACCCCATTACCAATACCATTAAGAGACGGTCACATGACCCGCCAGTGGTAGATTTAGTGTTAATAATACTTTATCATCATTATTATTATTATTATTAGCACTCTTAGTTATGATGATTAAAAAATGACATTCACCAATATTGTCGATTCTATATTTTTTGTTAATAGGACTTACAATGCTTAACCTGATTTTAAGAGCTGTGACATTATTTTTGAAAATTTCTTTATGCCAGTGGTTTTTTAATCATTTTATAGAAATAGGAGTATTGTGTTTTTCGTAACAGTATATTAATGTATGCAGAAAAGCAAGTGCCTTAAATTACTTTAGAAAAGAAGCGCAAACTGAATTGTGTTTAACACAATTAAACGTGTTATTAAATAGTTTCATTTTCAAATACTTCAAAAACGAATTTACATGATTATGATATATGCAAACCCAGCATAGTAATATGTTCAGATTGTCCAGACTGTCCAGATTGTTTACTTACGCCATTCTCATAAATACTCACATATACATATATGAAAAAATGGATTACAATAAGGACGTCATAACTATGATTTGTGACAAACCTTTCGAATCTCTATGCTTCAGGATCAACATCATCGCGAAGGGGCCCTGCTCCTCCAAGACCAAGTGCAACCCCCCCTTCATTACCGCGCACACCTATTGACCAGGTTGACTCTGAATCACTGCATTTGCGATCACATACACCTCTTTCTCTTGGCAGTATTGCATCATTACACGAGAAGGTATATTTTTATCTGCAATTCCAACTTTTCTTAATAACTCACAATAAGTTTGTCCGTTTATCGTGCACTGCGGAAATCGTTGAGGGGGAATGGTACATCATTTTTTCTGTGGTGTTGTTCACACTTACGAGAACTGGAAGCAAAGAAATTTTGCACCCAATGTTTGTACAGGATGTACTTTGCTTGAATTGATGAAATCACAGGCTTCTGAAACGATAATTTTCCCTACGGAGCCATATTTTTTTAATAATTTTTCAGAAATATATATAATAAGCATAAATTCGTACTGGCAGCCTATGAATATATTGGGGCGATTCAGCATGGCCTCTGCAGTTACTCATTCAACGCTTATGGCACTGATACAAAGAATCATAAATCAAAAAATTACCATGCAGAGAATGCTGAAACTTTGCCAATTTTACACTCTACGAATGGAAAATGTTAAGGTAATATGAACGAGTCAGCCTACATATAGCTGAGAAGTCGAATCGTTGGTAAAAGTATTCTCCGAATTGAGTGTACCGATCCGTTTCAAATTTTACCACGTCAGTATGGAAGCCCTAAAATAGGTTCTAAAACTCACGAAATTTAATTTTTCATCAAAAATTTATTTAGTAATTATGGACTAGAACCAATGGCGTGGTTCATGCATGTTTTCGATGTTTTACGCTTCTTGGAGACTTAGAAGCGAAAATGAAGAGTTTCAGGATCTAGCTCAAACAATTTAGAATACCGTAGAAATGGAATATTACAGAGTCATATGGAAAAATATAGAAAATACTTTCACCAACAATTGCAAGAGAATGCTGGCTTGTTTCGTGGCTATCGCGTGTTTTTAGAGCAAAAATTTAGTCGCAGCTAAACATCACAGATCACGACGTTGGTCTTAAACAGTCGTTAGAATAATGAATTCCGGGAATTCGACAGTTTTACATCAACCTCGTCATCATTACTTTACCAAAATGACATATGGAACACTTCATTTCGTATCATTCTCAATGTAGAGAGTTAAAGACAACAAATGAACAGAAATGTCGGTAACGTGACGCGCCAGTTTGTTACCACTTGAGTATTCAAAAGGACGTTACCACCAATAAGGATATAGATGAATTTTAATTTATCGACCTCGATTGTATTTCTCAGCACCTTTCGTATCATCTTAAAATAATATGAAAGTTGAATCTTTGGGGTCGATTGTTCATAAAACTCGCCTGCGAACTTGGTGTAGCGAATTGTTTGAAATTTTACCACGCGAGTATTGAGTTCCTAAGAAATATCCTGACATTCACAAAATTTCATTTTCATAAATAATTAACTAAATATTTATTAACAAATTTAAACAAACTTTCATAGGCATCAAGACCTTCTGTAGGGCTTCCATATTCACGTGGCAAAATTTCGAACGACTCGATATACCCAGTTTGGAAAAAAGTTTTATAAACGAGACCCTTCAGACGACACTTTCATATCACCACCTTATACAGTTAATCGACATTTTTGGCTGAGAACACGAAAAGCCGTCAACGAAGAGGTTTCCCTCGCATAAAATTTGGCAATTTTGCGCTACATGCAGTACTTTACATCGTGCCGTCGCTGCGCTGTAGAATAGTCGCAATATGCGACCTGAGGAAAACAGCATATGACCGTACTTATCAGGACTCTTATAGGTTTTCCTATTAAATGTAATACGTAAACGCATCAGTTCCTGTAAATGTCGACTCCGGTTCCACAAATGAATTTCTTCTGTGGTACAATAGATAATTATTGAATTTTTATTTTCTTTTGAATTTTTTAGTAACAAAGCCTTAATTTCCTTACATGAAATATAACATTTTTATAGAATCCCGACGCCCGATGACTAACACTCGACATTACTGAGGCACAACACATTAATGACGCTTGCAACATCACAAGTTTTTCCATTATTTGCCGTTAAACCACAGAATAGTCAACTCGACATTTGCCGAGTAGTACCATTCCCCCGTAACTGATCAAGGTCTAAATGCGTTAATAATTCTTCTAGGTATATAGTAGTTTACTCCTCGTTTATTGTCAAATGTAAATTCGATGTGAAAAATTCTACTCAGACAGAAGGTAGATTTTAAACCTTATGAAATGTTCTAATTACAATCTTCATGCATGTAAGTACGTGTTAATATTTTATATTGTTAGAAATTCCGAAGAGCGCATACGACCAATTTATTTGAAACCTGATATACTTATGTATTTTGATCCGCTGATTACAAATATGATAGTGAAAATTAGTGCAAATGTCATTTTCAAAGTGAAAATGGCCACTTCAATCAATTTTACATTGTTTTTGCATTACTTTTATGAACATAGGTTTAAGAAAAAAACTGATTACGAATATAAAAGTAAAACTAGGCGCCCATGTCACTTTCTGCGTGCAAGGGGTTTAAGTCGAGTTTATATCTTTTGGGAGGAGCCACTGTTACGTCTAGGGATAGGGTAAAAGAAAAAAAGTCGGTATACGGAAGGGGGGGCGAGACCTAGCTCCTACACCTTCCTTACGATTAAGGAATTGAATGGAAATAAGAAAAATACTCGAATACAGGGGGGGGGGGAGGGAGACATAGCCCCCGCGCCTTCTGTATCATTGAAAGAAATATAGGAAATAGGAAAATTGTGGGCCCCTCAGCGAGTCCTATGCGGACTTATCGATATTGGTGTTAAGAAAGGAGAGAAATGGAGTTTCGTTTTCACTAGGTTTATTGTATAAAAGATAAACGTGAGGATATACAAATGTGTGCGTGAGTGTGTATGTGTGTGGGCGTATTTCTAAATACCTTAGTTTCTTCCTTGAAGCGACGTTTGCTCCTCGAACAGAATTTCAGACGTAGGAACTTGCTTCAGAGATTAGTTCGCACGAGAGTGAGTCTATCAGTCTAGTTCGTAAATTCGGATTGTAAGTTCGAGTTTGAGATCGAGATTTGAGATTCGAGTTTCGAGTAAGCTCGAATTCGTTTGAGTGTTTCGAATACCGCGAATTTCCCCCACGCTGTAGGTAGTTCACCCTAACGTCCACAGTTGGCGCCACCGGAAGAGGGTATTGTAGCGACTGTCTCGGTTCCCTAGGCCGACGTATGCCGCCACGGTCGCTCGCGAGGCGAGATATAGAACGTGGACACTTCACTTTCTTTTATTTCTCATTCCTCCATACAATACTTCATACTTCTTAAAAATACCTTTTGCGCGTTAAAAGCTACGACCAGCCAAGCTTTAGAGAAGGTTCCGGTTTCCCCGGGCCCTACACCCTCTCCTGGTCCTCCCGAAATACGCGGTTCTCGACGGTTGGCCCTACGGGGCCCTCGATCCGGTAGAACGAAGAAAATAAAGAGGGACTGGGGAAGGGCCACCCCACGTGGTCCAATCTCTCGATAATGTACCCGGGCGGTTGCCCCGTGTGACTGCGACCCGGGGCGGCCATTAGTCGCCCCGCGTGACTAACTGGCCCTGAGGAAAAATACAAGAGAAAGAGAGAGACGGAAAGCCCGAGATAGTGAAAACACAACTCTAACGAAGGGAGGAGGGAGGCTACTCGCGGTGTGAGCTCAGGCCTGAGTTACCTTAAAGGCCCTTAGGGCTAACCGGCTCTGGCTCGGCGTGACGGTCCTCCGGCTCTCTGTCGACGCTGGCGGTGTCGGTCCGGACTTCAGTTGAAGCGGCAGGCTATGGCGATGAGATACGAGTGAACAACTAATTTTGGGCAAAGAAGAGCGAGCCGCGGCTCGCGGCCCGTTTTGTACGGGCTCCCCCTCCTTCGGTCCGGCGGCTCCTGTGGCGTCTTATTGGCCTAATTTTCCAGGTTCGTGGCTCAATTAGCGGCCTCCAGGTTTCGGACATAGATCCTCCTGGCCGGTGCCCTCCCGGAGTGGGGCGCCGGCGGGCTACCGACTCGTGTCCGTGAAGTTGGCCCCTACTTTTTCGAAAATGAAAATGTTCATTTTTGTACCGGATTGTACTCACTTTGTACCGTGTTGTACCGTTGAAACAATTGTCCTAACTTCAATAGTTAAGTAACAAATTGAAAAAAACCGTTTTTTGAGCTAGGCCCTACTTTGTTGAAAATCGATGTTTTTTTTTTTGTTGTACCGGATTGTACTCGTACCGAATATTGTACCGTTGAAAAAAAATTATATAAATACTTGTACTAGATTGTACTCACATTGTATCAAGTTGTACCGTCGAAACAACTGTCTTAACTTCAATAGTTAATTAACAAATTCGGAATAACCGTTTTTTAAGCTAGCCCCTACTTTTTTGAAAAACGATGTTTCTTTACTTGTACCGGATTGTAATAATTGTACGGAACATTGTACTATTGAAAAAAATTATATAAATATAATACATCTTCATAAAATTTAAAAAGTTTATTTAAAGAAAAATATTTTTTGTTTCGAAAATTAAAAACTTTTCATTTCTACCAAGTTGTACTCACTTTGTACCAAGTTGTACCGTTGAAATAATTAAGCTTACTCGAATAGTTAATTAGCATATTTGAAAAAACCGTTGTACCGTATATGGTACTCAGTTGTTCTGAGTTGTACCGGCTTCCTGGGAACCGGTTAAAGCTGGCACAATTCGAGTTGAGGCTAGTACAACCCGGTACAACGAAGGAAACGTAACTTTTCCCAGGTAGACGTGATAAGGAATAAACCCCGATTCGTGTGAAGTCTAGGTGAATTCGGTAGTGGCTGAAAGTTTGTACTGAGTTGTACCGGCATCCTAGATACTGGTACAAGCTAGTACAATTCGAGTTGAGGCTACTACAACCCGGTATAACGTGACAAACGTAACTTTTCCCAGGTTGACGAGATAAGAATGAAACCGCGTTTCGTGTAGAGTCTAGGTAAATTCGGTGGTGCCTGAAAGGTTGTACTGAGTTGTACTGAGTTGTACCGGTATCCTAAGTACTGGTACAAGCTAGTACAATTCGAGTTGACGCTAGTACAACGCGGTACAGCGTGACGGAACAAGGTTCCATTCCTATTATGTCTACTTGGGAAAAAATACGTTTTCACGCTGTACCGGGTTGTACCAGCTTCAATTCGAATCGTACTAGCTTGTACCTGTACCTAGAATGCCGGTACAACTCAGTACAAACTTTCAGCCACCACCGAATTCACCTAGACTTCACACGAATCGAGGTTTATTTCTTATCACGTCTACCTGGGTAAAGTTACGTTTCTTACGTTGTACCGGGTTGTACTAGCGTCAACTCGAATTGTACTAGCTTGCACTTGTACCTAGAATGCCGGTACAACTTAGTACAAATTTTCAGCCACCACCGAATTCAGCTAGACTTCGCACGAAATGAGGTTTACTTCTTATCACGTCTACCTGGGTAAAGTTACGTTTCCTTCGTTGTACCGGGTTGTACTAGCCTCAACTCGAATTGTGCCAGCTTGTACCGGTTCCCAGGAAGCCGGTACAACTCAGTACAAAGTGAGTACAATTTGGTAGAAAAGAAAAACTTTTAAATTTCTAAACAACATTTTTTTCTCTAAACAATTTTTTTAATTTTCTAAATATGTATTACATTTATATTTTTTTTTTCAACGGTACAATGTTCGGTACACCTAGTACAATCCGGTACAACTAGAGAACTATCAATTTTCAAAAAAGTAGGGGCTGGCACAAGAAACGGTTTCTTTGAATTTGTTAATTAACTATTGAAGTTAGGGCAATTGTTTCAACGGTACAACACGGTACAAAGTGAGTACAATCCGGTACAAAAAAGAAAATTTTCATTTTCGAAAAAGTAGGGGCCAACTTCACGGACACTACCGACTCGCCTCGCGCGCGAGGATCAAGGCCGGTACCTGTATGGGTCTCCCCCCTCCCTCGGGCCGGTCAGCAGATTTCCCGCCGATGATGAAGGGTCCTTGCTGGCTGGTCCTGGACGATGATCCTGGCTAACCTGGGGCTCGATCAGAGCCGTGGTCCCAAGTGTCCCTCCGTCGAGGAGGTCGTCCTAGGTGGTCACGGTGATCCCCGAGGCGTCACGTGATCTCTATCATTGTGGTTCGTTTTGGTCCGTCCGCCGCTTTCAATCCATGGCCGCGGACGGGCTCCTCGGGGACACAAAGACTCCTCCTCGATGGTGTCGGCGATGTTCGAGATGTCGCAGGAGGGCTCCTGGCCGAGAAGTCGGAGCTCTCCCCAGGGACGGACCTTCTCACGCCGCCAGGACGAAGTGAACCCTGCCCCTGCGGGTTCGGTATCCGGTGGCCTTCGCAGGTCCGACCCCTGCGTGATCCAATTGGACCGGGGGGGGGGGCAGGTGCCACCCTCGATGGTGACAATTGTCCTTCGATGATGTGCCCTAGATCTTCTTTGGGGGTGCCCCGCTGTCGCTTCTCTCGTTGTCGTCCTGACGTCCCTGGTTATTTGTTTGGGGTCGTCCCGCGGCGGTCGAGCGTCGCGCTGACAGGGTACGAAATTTAGCGAGACCTTGAGACGCTTAAATATTCGCACTAGGCGAAGGAAATTGAAATTTCTATATTATATTCCTAACATGGCCTAATACCGAAGAGATTACGACAAATGGCAATATTTAATCTTCTTTCAGCTACCCTACTAAAGAAAGGGATGAATTAATCTAGTTCGAGGTACTTGATTAGATATTTAAAACGCCTCTTTTCAGCAAAAGGGAGAAAAATGTACCTCGAGGAAGATTAATTCATCTTAACAATGATTAATCAAAGCATAGCAAGAGAAAGGAGGGGTTCTCATCCTACAACCCTAACACGCTTTCTCTCGAGTTCGTGTCCTTTTAAGGAAACAAAACAAAATAATTGAACATAAAAAAACAGGCGTGAATGAAACATAAGTAATATATTGGCCAACGGCCCTCATCGTCCCCGCCTCCTCACCCGCCGCCGTCCGGACCAGCGGTTCTTAGTTTTTGCGGCGATAACACGGTCCATTTTGTGACGGCATTTCCCCCGACAAAATGCCACGTCATACCTCATAATTCACATCGTTGGTCCCATGATTCCCCGTTTCTTGTGTTTAAAGTGTTTACAGTTTTGCATTTAGCAATGCAGTTTTAGAACTCAAAAATATGCAGAACAGCGAAAAGTTTAAGATAAAATCGATGAAATACACTATTAAATTATAAACATTTGACATTCGGGCAGATAAATAGTTTTGACCAGCTTTTTCCTCGTTTTCGTCACTGCCGCGACCACCACCGCCACGAGAAGCGTTGAGAGGACGAGAAAAGGCGAGGAAGAGCGCGAGGGCAAGAGAGGGCGGGAGAGGATGAGGGAGGTTGGTAGAGTGCGAGGGGACGAGAGGGCATGAATGGCAAAAATAGGCGTGAAAGGGCTAAGAAGCGCTAGAAAGAGCGAGGAAGGGTGGTAGAGGACAAGGGGGTTAGAGAGGGCGTGAAATGGCGAAATAGGGCTGGGAAGGGCTAGGAACGGCAAGAGTGTGAGGATAAGGACCAGAGCAACAGCAAAAGCGCCTTACATTGATATTCGAAAGGACCGCACCAGGTGGCCATCGCCTATTGGTTGGATGGCATCACCGCGGTGTCACCGAAAACGGTCGTCGAAAAAATTTCAAGCATCCCAAGCGAAGTGAAATGTTTAAAATTGCATATCTCTGTATTAAATGTACCAATCAATTTCGTTCATAGCTTAAACATAGAAAAATAGTCCAATCTCGATGACCTAATTAAAGTTGACATTACTCATTCAAGAGGTTCAAAAAACGGCATTCATTGTCCACTTTTACGCCCCAGATTAAACATCGCACGTAATGGTCAGATCAGATAGGTAAGATTTTCGAGCCTCTCTCTCTCTTTATATATATATTTCTTCTTAGCGCGAAACACTACCGAGATTCTTAATGTCGGTAACGTGACGCGCCAGCTTATGTTACCACTTAAGTAGTCGAAATGGCATTACCAACGACAAGGGTCTAGATGAATATTATTTTATCGACATTGATTAAATTTCTCAGCGTCTTTCATATCACGTTAATAGTTGAAAAATACTTGACATGTAAATATATATACAGTTCTCAAGACAAAGCGTGTTTTAATTTATAATCGGATAAAAAATATCTTTACATACGAAAAAAGTTTTAAAAAATGTACATTGTAAGATAATGTAAATTATATATCATTATAATATTAGGGATCTACCAGGTGACTATTAACCATAACAAATTACACAAATGAATAAAATCAAAATACAAATTATATAGCATTCACATTTTTTAGGGCATGGTCTCCAAATTGTTAGTGAAAACCATACAAAAATTCTGTATAGATGAATCAACACATGTTCTCATATAAAAACCGAAGGGCAGTCCACTTTGAAGAATATGTACAGCTTGGCAAAATAACTGTACAATCACTCGTTTTTATGTTTCTAGCATCTTTTTTCACTATACATTTCTGAACATTAAAGTGTGAAAATGTCTAAAGGAACTTTGAAAAATGAATATTGTCTTTTCTGTAGCGCAAAAATCTCGAATTCAATATGATTCCTTAAATTTTGCGAAAAAGATAACTAATTAGGCTCAGCAAATATTCTTTTTTATTTTTTACGGTATATATTGTTTTAAGTGTAACATAATATATATGTTTAGCCAGAGTGATTCATTACTGTTATGTGCTTAATTGCTCTATGGGTATATTTCTGTACAATTTTCTTTTGCATATAAATAACATACAGTACATGTATTTGGCAAAAGTAACTGATTTTGTTGTTTTTGTGTTATTAGTCGTCATTATATGGATACGACTTTGCAAAATGGGTTTTTTCAATAGTATGTATGTGAAGTAAGTTTTTTTGACATCGAAGATGTTTTAGTGGAAATTGTAATTACGGTGCTATAACTACCATGGTACGACAGCGATGGCGCTTTGCAACCTTACAATTTTTTTCATTATTCGCTCTTCGCACGGTCTACTCGAAGCTTACCGAATAGTCCCACTCCTTCTTAACCAATGGTGCTTGTCTTACGTTGTGAACTTGTTCAAACCCTTGAAAAAGAACAGTTGTGCTCACTCCACCAAAAGGTCTTTCACAGTCAAATATACTTTTATCATTCATGAATATATCTTATTTTTCTCGGAAAATAACGGTTTTAGAGGAAAAAAACGTAGAACATAAAAATATGTATTTTTTTAAGAACCACAGTTTTTGTTTCATACTTTTTAGCATGGAATGACATACAGGGGTACCAACTCAGCGTTCGAGTGTATCGAAAATCAAACATGCGTTACGCGAGCGAACCGAAAAAAACCATGTAATTCTACGTGCAACATTAGCATTACAGTTCTGTCCGAAAGATCGAACCCTCCATTTTTTTTCTTAAACCTGCAGATTAATTAGACATTGCAAAAAATAATGTATAAAGTATCGAAAAGTGGCTGTTTTCGCCTTGAAAATGACACTTGCACCGATTTTCACGATCATATTGATAATGTCAATATGCGTAGGTATAGGAAGTTTTAAATTAATTGAAAGTATGCGCTTTTCAGAACTTTATCATATTCTTATATGGTACAACGAGCTCAAAGAGTTATTGAACAAAATAACTGTAGTATTTGAACAGTGCACGACAAACGAGAAGGCGTATTGAATGTACAAACTTACAGCTGATTTTTATTTAGGAACATGCATCGACTGGAAGTCCACGTCACTCAATAGCTTCAAACAACAGTTCAAATCCATCGACACCTCCCAGTCCTGCCCATGATCATGGGTCATCATCGTACGATTCATAAAGTAATCGTCTTAATCATGTGTTTGTAACTAACGAGGTAAAAGACATTGACTTTGTTAAGTTGTTTTGTGGGTATACACATAGCGATATAGGTTATACCTGATTTTCAAGTATCTGTGGTACTAACTTCTGTGAGAAACGATACGTTGCGGTCTTGCACGCCAAAAAGTTAACATGATATTTATTCTTCGGCAGATAATACGCAACAAAAGCCTCCATTACGTTAAGAAAATAAACGTGGTGTCTTTCCATATGTTGCTATAGCTTGTAGAATTATTGTAAAACTATCATTAAAAACATAAAGAGTGATTTTTGATTGAACCTTAATTTTAGCGTGTATTTACAATAATAATGAGACCAATGAGTCAATCATTTAAACATTAAAAGAAGTAGAGCAATTCCTGTAACGGAGGTCTGATTATATCGTACAATTCGATACAATGTGTAATACTGCTCCTGCTACGTAATGTTGTTCGATTGTACGCGGTTACCTTTTATACGTCTATGTCCTATGAAAGGTATTATGCTTCCTTTTTGGCTTACAAGTGTACACAACTAATTTAATTAGCGACATAAGGCCGAATTATTGTATATAATTTACATCTTTAAATACTTGAAAATTAGCGTTTTTGACGTTATTTAACTCATACAGATAGATTTTCTACTTCCTCGAGGGAACCATCCATCTTTTTACTTCTTTCTAATGAATCGAAATGAGTTCAAATAATTTTCAGTTTTAATTTAATTAAATTAGGGATGTCAGTCAAATTATCTAGGCAATAAGATTAGCTACTTAAACGAATCGACCCACTTTCAAACCTAGACATGAAATAGTTGTATATTTAACCACTGTTAGAGTAAATGTAAACAAATTTAATTAATATAAATTGATTAAATAATTGAGAAGTAAATATTATATATCGCCTCATAGTATGAAAAGGTACATCATTCTGTCATCGTATGATGTAACTAAATGGATATTGTATTAACTGTGCAATTTGTCCGGAGCTTTTATGTGGGAACCACTGCTCTTTGGGGACAAATAGATACAAAACTTATTCATATTTGATGCACACTTATATTCTGGAATGTTATTACAAGTGAATATAGTGTATGGCGCACCGTTGCTCGCGTATATTTGACATTGTTCTCCCGTACCCAAGAAAACTAGACATTATATTAACATTTTAACATTGTTAAAGATACTACTATGTGCTGAAGTTACATGAAAGAAAAGAGATATTGTAATTTGGGCACTTTCCTATCTCAAATCGGCGAAATATTGTTTTGTGGCACTAATACTAATTATAGGTAGACTCATCGATTTCTTAAAATACTGTTGTATTACATGTTCGATTAGGAACATCTTAGGACCAGGCCCAACGGACGGGGGGGGGGGGGCAGACGGAACTTCATTTTCCATAGCCCAAACGCGAACGGATTGAAAGGATATATACAAGGACAAAAAAATAGTATTCTTAATTTGTTCCAACCCAGGGAACATATTTTACCTCAGGGCCCGTACCGACTCTTCACGTGCCTACCTTGGACACATTTAATTGGTCGCAGTTTGCGAACTGAGATACAGGAAACATATAGTCTGCAGTTAAGAGTTGATATATTTTAGTAAAACGGAAGTTAAAAATGTGGTACCTCGTCTTAAATCAATGTTCAATTCTGGACAACAAATAACCACCCTTATTGATAATCGCCAGTCCGATTGTTATTTGCGTAACAAATAAAGCATTGCTCTCTGCCAAAGATATACATTCAGTTGACATTCTTTACTTTTTAAAAATGAAACGATATACTATAATGCTTTTATGCGGTTTAAATATGGCTAATCTGAGATAATGATCGTGCACTTATTTTTTAACAATTTATTACTTCGAATTTCTTCACAGATGAAATTTTGGTGGCTCATGTATATTCATATTCAAATTACATTTTTCTAAATCCAGTAACATTAAGTAATTTTTACGATGTTTGTGCTGCTTCTTTAAATGCCAAGTATCACATGAAATCTTATAAGTGTGTTTAAACAGATCGGATGCTTGGATTACTTAGCAACAAATTTAGAAACGTTAATAATAAACGTAATATATGTAATGAATAAAAAAATATTATTACATTGTGCTGTATTTTTTATCTTCATGCTATTAAATGTTATGGACTTATTTTGACGTCCAGATATTTTGTACAATAGATGTCAAAAATTGCTTCGTTCTGAGTAACATCGGATCTCCGATGATGATACTCGACTGCAATAGTAAGAGCAACATCGCGATCAATACATAAATTGAGTCAGCTGGAAAGTCGTGAGTGACTTTTGGTCCCTATGACTGAATAACTGTGGACTGCTATCCTCTTATCGTATAGCGAGTACATCTAAATGGTTGCTAACAACAATCATGTTTTGTGGTTTGAGTCCTGCCCTGTTTAGCATCATTCAAGGGAGATATTTAAATTCATTCGAACACAAGTATTACTATCCAAATAGCATTATCTTTAAAGTCATTCCTGCGATTCATGTAAATTTCAAATATGTTATATACCCTCTAACAGGAAAATCGTCGCCTCGTCGTCAAACCGTCATACTCCCTGGAATTCGCGTACACTAGGGGATCAAGCCTGATCTTCGGTCCTTCCGGAAGTCCGATTTCTTTAAGGGCGCCAGGTGCTCACGCGTGCACCTCGGACCCCCGGTGCTCGGTAGCCGAAGCGATCCGACCTGGTCCGATATTCGGAACTGGCCTGGACGTATCCGATCGGCTACTCAGCCCCAGGAGGGCCTTCCTGGCACGGTAGAGCTGGGGGATTCTGTATGAAACGGCATGAGTGAGGAGGAGTCATCCTCGGAATCCGTAGAATCGGAAGAGTAGACGAAATGATATGAAATGTTACGTAGGTACCTTCCGTACCCTAAAATAGGGAAAAATCCGTTTTTTTATTAACCGGAGTCAGCCATGGAAATTCGAATACAGAAACGCGAAACCCGTGCGAAAGAATCCAACGAGTTCATCGGCCAAACGGCTCCAAAAGTCATCGACCGACCCGGGGCAAACAACCTGATGACTCCGCAACGCATCAGAACGACTCAAAAGTCCACCCTCACCTGCGCCCTAGGAAACCCCCACCAATCGGAATATCCTGCTAATAAAACCAGCAGTCCGATCAGAAGTCAGGGCTAGTCAGTCGTTTAGGCAATTTGTGATAAGTCAACCTCAGTCGTCATCAAAACTTCGAGTGGAGCTCCTGGCTCCGGTACTCCGTTCCTAGTGAGTCAGAGACCGAGACCATAGGACTCCCTGCCAAGGACCACTATCCTGCGAGCTGCAGTAGCGCCATCCGGTACTCCAGCGATCCAGCCACCGAGTCAGGACTAGACGGCGGCACTGCGACTTCCGTTGGACGGGAGGCTTCTAGGAGACCTCCAACCCTAGGGCACGCCACGGGACGAAGGTGTTCACGCACTGTCATCCGACCGGGTCGATCAAAAGAGACTGTCACCGATTACGGCCGCTGAACAAGCCAGGTAGAGGATTCTTCGCAAGCTCGATTCATCCTCATTTTCATTCTAGTTTACTTATTAACCCTTCATCTCCGACCAAAACCGAATACTAACCATTATCGCGATTTCCATGCCTTGCTCCGGTTAACCGGATAGATTAAGAACCCATCGATTTACTTTTAACAGCTGAGCTCGAATCTCAGCATCGCGAGATAGAGTCACGCGCAGACCACCATTAAAATATCAAGAATTCCCGCGTCAGCACTCCGGCGTCCAGTAACCTGCCGCCGCTAAAGCGCGCTATCGCGACACCCGAACCTCCGCGACGCGGAAGTATACTAATCCAGAGAAATTAGGTCAAGGCACCTCGTGCGCTCCTCACAGCTGACTGTAGTTCAAACCTCGCGTACGAATAAATACAACCCTTATCGCCACATAGCCTTTCGTTCGCACCCCCTTTTTATTCCTCACTCTCCTAGATCCCACCAGAGAAATTGATCTAGCCGCTCGGATCAATCTCCTCACAAACGCAAAATAAACGTTACGCACAAGATTTGGGTAATCTCCATCCGAATTACCCCGGCCTCGCATCCGCTCGGCTGCCCCGTAACAGAAACAAAGTGCTGCGATAAACGATCCTTTCGGGAGATTTATTAATCGTAACGGAACAGTCACACGAGAGTGTGTCATAGTTTTTCGTTGCAGTCCACGCACAGAGACGGGACTGGGCCCGAAAAATTAAAAAAGGAGCCAGAAAATTAAACGGGACTAACATTAAAAAATATCGAGCACTCGATCAAGAACCCCCCCCCCGATGAGAGTCCGACAAGGGTACAACACCCTAGCGGAGGATACTTGCCATCAAGAACCTCAGTAAGAGCCCGGTGCCTAAGGCAGTTGCGCAAAGAGGGAATCGACACCGGCTGGCGGAATAGCCCTTCGCCTCCCACCCACTCCGACCCGCTCGCAGGCAGCCACGACACGATGCAATAATCCGATATTTTACAGTAAAATGCGGTACGGGACGCGGCATAAGTGAGCGAACGTGAGTCTCCTCCCGCCAGAATTTTACTTTAAAAAATCCGGGACGCCACCCGTGACCCTTAATGATATCTCAATCCGGAACGCCCCGGAACTAACCACAAAACGATCTAAAACTCCGCGAAGAGCAGCATTGTAGGAGCGACAGTTATTCGGTGCACCTTAAACTGATTAAAAATGGGTCGACGGTCTAACATCAAAGTCGGAATCGAGTCACGGCGCGGACACATATGGAAAATGGCGGTCTATGAGGCCGCCTGGGCAGGTTTGTGTTCACCGGTACGATGTTTGCTCGGCGAGAACGATACAGCTCCTCTCCGAAGGCGGCAGCGCTGCGACACCCCATGGGAAGATCGGTACGGCGCCCCTCGGTAGGTTGATCGAGGCAAAGACGCTGCCGCTGATGAGATGGCACGGTATGGAGCTACGACCGGTACGGTAGTCCGTCTGGGAATACCGGTTTCGCCGGAAAATCTTCCGTTCCAGCGCCAGGGTCCTCCTGGTGGGCCTCGCGGAAATCCTTACCGGGTACCGACCTGCCATCTCGCCCAGTCGAAATGGGTCACTAGGCCGCCTAATTAGGTCCGCCGTCGGCCGATGGCAGCAGGACCCCCAAATTCGGGGCCCCGCCCGCTTTCCGCTGTTCTGAAAGTTTAGAATTTGCGCGCCGATGTGCTCCGCGCCTACGCACAGCGATGTTTATCGCAATTTTGACATCATTACGAGGCTACCCTATTTCCTCAAAATAGAGAGGCGCGCATTACAGTAAGTATGAGTCAGTCACCGGAAAATAAACATCGAATCCAGAGCAACGATAGCACCATCCAATTAACCCGGACAAATAACGAGTGGAACAATCATCGAGGAATGTTTTAGCTTATTTGCACGCCATCCGCACTGAACTGCACTATGAACCAAAACACGGGGCCTACTCATCCGTCAACATAGTGACTTCCTGATCACGTCCGATCAAACCCCTAGCAACAAAATCCAAAAACAAGAAAATTGCATCTTCTCCCCACGGACATCTCAAGGATAAGATCTCATATAAAAACTGCACCGAAAAAGAGCACAGCGCTAGTCTGAAGGGCCCGACTAAGGGGCTTGTCTGCTAAGACCTCTCAGTCAGTCAGTCCATACTCTGTGTTGCTGGGGTTCTCTGAAGAGCTGACCGTACTGTTAGTAACAATTTTGCGTTTCGGTGCTCCGGTATCCACGAGCCAACAGTAAGGAGAACAACGGCGCTGCGAATTTCAGGCCAGCGGGAGAATCTTAGGAAGCTCCAATCCTAGGGCCCGCCCGGTTTGAAGGCGTTCACGTGCAGTTCATCCCAACCGGCAGGATGTATGAGAGACGTCACCGAAAGTAAAAGTCTCTGCGAAGCCAAGGTACAGATCCTCTTCAAAAAACTCCACTCTTTCACGCTTTCACCCTTCATCACTCTCTTTTGAAGCCTATTCCAAATTACTACCCAGCAACAGAATTCGGTATTCACCTTCCGATAGCGCCGACCAAATTCTAACTCCTCACAATAAAAATCGCAACTCATTAGCTGCCCTTGCTCAGTAAGGCAA